TTTTCTTTCACCAGCAAGAGGACTTCGATGTAAGGCTCAGTCCATGGTACGAATGGCCCGAGGTAACCACGCCTCAAGGTGGAGGTCGGCGTGTCACTCTAAATCTCGACACTCTCCGGAATCGGCCATCGGAAAAGCTCCTAATCTCACCGGAAAGCACTCGCCCACAAAAGCTAACCAATGCATTCGGCTTAGGGTTAAAGGTTTGGGATTGAGTTTACCGAATATAGGATTGGATTTGGGTAAAAGAGGATTGAGCTGATCTGGTGGCCGAGCTAAAGAGTGGGTCAACTAATTATTTATTATCGAGCGACTCGTTGGATTAGGCCTCGAACTATCAAAATTCCTATAAAAAAATATAATGGAAAAGTATATGCTTGCTAGCCTAATGATTTTGATAATATATATTCAGTTTGACGTAATAAAATTGTATACTTTGGACAGCAACAACGAATTTTGGTGCAGATACCTACTAGTTTTCTTCTTGATATTTTGTATATCTCTTTATGACTATTGATTATTGAACCAACTGGTTCTATAATAAATTTCTATAATTTTGGTTGATAGATCATTTTCTCTATTTTACGAGCTAAGTGATTTATTGGAAAAATGTCAATTAAAGTACATATCATATGATGGAAAAACAAGATGAGAAAAATGACAAACAATTATGAACAATAGTTGTTTTCTAACCTAAAAATATTATTTTATTTTCAATTATTGTTGCATGATTAACCCTGTGGCCTAAAAGTAACATTGACAAATTTTCTATTAAATAGAAGTCGATATGCAAAACAGTGATACACAACTTGTTTATTGAATTTTTTTAACCATAAATGAGTGCGACACAAAAGCCTCCTCAACATCCGAAACAAAAGAATCTATATTGGGAGCATCGCGATAGAGTGCCAAAAGAGTTGGCAAAAAAAACTTTTCAACAATTGACGGTATGCAAGTATTGTAAAATGAAAATTTCAGTGACTTATAGAAGTACCGGTGGACTTAAAAATTATTTGAAGAAGAAGTACAAGTCAAATTCATTATACAAAGAGGGTGGAATATGAAATTATCAACCTTCATCAACAACATAGACTATGAGATTGATAAGCTCTTTGATTTCATATTCTTTTATTCAAAAGCAGTGTGAATTGAAGTTTTACAAAGTTTGTAATTGTTGATAAAATATCTTTTCGGATTGTTGAGAGAAAATAATTAAAGGTTTTGTTGAAAGAACTTCAGCTGAAGTTTATAATACCAGATAGAAAAAAAAAATTTTAATATTGTTTTAAATTATTTTTAACTGAGAAAATCAAAATAAAAAATATGATTCGTGGCTAGAGGGTTGGACATCTATACATAATATAAACTATATGGTCATAAAAATCCATTCTTTGGATAGTGATTGGACGTTACGTAAAATAATAATTAACTTAAAAAAAATCACTAATCATGTATGTGAAGAAATTGGGAAGACAATTGAGAATAAATAAAGTATTTTTAATTGTTGTTGATAATGCTTCTTCAAATGCTACTGAAATCGATTATTTGAAGAAAATAATGAAAAATGAAGATATTTTATTGTTTGAAAAAAAAAAAAAAATTGTTTTTAACATATACATGTTAGGGATGTCAACGAGGCAGGTTCGGGATGGGTTCTACAGGCCCGGGGACCCGCTTGCTATGAAATATTAGACCCTAGGACCCGCCCCACCCGGCTTTAGCCCGGCCCCAGGTTTCGCCCTGCCTCGGGCCAACCAGACAAACCCGTTTATTTTTTATTTTTTAAATAAAATATAATTAATTGTAATAAGTAATATTAAAAAGGTAAGTATTAAAGCACTATGATGACGGTGGGGGGATATGAGGCAAAATATTAGTTAAAAAAATAAGAACAATCAAATGTTGGCAGTGTGGTCTGCAGTAATGGCGGTTGACGGCAAATGAGGCAACGACAGTAGTCCTGATTACGAAGAGAATTCAAGAAGAAATAAATGTTGATACAAATTTGATTTAGGAATTAGAGTTTAAGTTTATATTTAAATTTTTTTAAATAAAAATGTAATATAGTTTAAATTATATAAAAAATATATATTAATTCTAATAATTATTAAAATATCGGAGTTCGGGTCCAGGTCCGTGGTGGGACAGGTTTTTAGTAAAACCCGTATCACGCATTGAATCTGATCAGGTTTAAAACTTAAAATCCACAGCCCGCCCCGAAGCATATTTTTTAGACCAAAACTTGGCCCATTAAAAGCGGGATCCGCTCCATTTGACATCCGGCATGTCATATCATAATATAATTTTTAAGGATGATTTAAAAGAGGTAAATGATTCTATCGAAGTAATCAGAAATGCAAGTGTTTTTATTCATTTCTCTATCTCTAAGTTAAATAAATATAAGGATTCAAATGAAGATGGTCTTAATTTATACAAGAATATTGAAGAAATTGTGAAATGTATAAAATTTTTTACTTCGTCTGTCGCAGGTATTTTGTCCCTATCACTGTAAATACGAGAATTTAGGTGAGGGTATAATTAGTAACTATAGAGATATGTTTAATGATAGTGTTAGAATAAATTAAAAAATAAAAATAAAATGGTAAAAAGACATTATCAGGAGATAGAGAATTGGTCTGGAAAGCTGCAAACCTACAACATTTCACGTGGGAGTTTATTACAGCAAAAATGACATCATTTTTCCACCGATTAGAGCATACACAACGGCCAGAAGCTAAAATGGTACTATTTCCTCCCTTTATCCGACTGTGTAAAGGTGTGATTCAAATTTGATTTCGGAAGGGCAGAGACGCAGTGACCGGCAGGCTGTGAGGAGAGTGTCTGTAGCTTCGAAGCCACCTCTTCTGCACCAATCTGACACCAAGGGAGTCGATCTTTTTCGGTTGGATATAAAAGCCGTTGCAGACTGATTTTAATCCCGACCGGAAGAAGACAACATCTAGTCAGACGGAAAGACCATCGTTCCTAAGGTCACTGCTGCTGCTCTTATACACCTAAAAATAATTCCCCAAAATTAACACAAGTCACAGGATTATTACACGCAGGGCCGTCCCTGACTTTCGAAGGTCCCAGGGCGAAGTAAAATCCAGGGGCTCTTAAACATATATATATATATATTTTACCTATAATAAAATATAAATAAAAAAAATATTTTTTCTAATATAAATTTAATTTCGAAACTTAGCATAAAATTTTCACATACTTTACAAATTGTGTAACAATCTCTTATATTTTAACAAACGCTATATGAAACCCCTGTAAAAAAATATAGATAAAAAGTCATCTTCTAATCATAAAAAAATATAAAAATGAATTTCATGAAACATTTTTTAAAGTATAAGGGTTCATGCAATTTAAAATAAAGTATACAGAGGATTTACACTAAGTTTCGAAATCATAATTTTGTCTAATATTTATTATCTTTTCAATGCAAAAAAATAATTAAACCAATAATAAAAGACCCCTATATATATAAATGATCTACTCCGATTTTTTTTACCTATAATAGAATATAAATTATTAAATAAAATATTTTTTTTATAGAATTTTTAGATAAATATCAATAATAGTATTAATATTAACAATTTTAAACAAAAATTAGGGCCCCTAAATATGTATAAATAATGTATTTTTTTATTTATAATAAAATATAAATAATTAAATAAAATAAATTTCAAATAACTTATATATATAAATAATGTATATATAACATAATTAAATAATGGACCCCAATTTAGATTGGCCCTGGGACGGCCCTGATTACACGTTGAAAATAACATTACACATCATTCTCCCAGCAAAACACAACCAAAAATCATTTCCTCCCAAACAAAATTATCTTAAAAAACAATTCCCATTTTTACCAAAATATCACTGTCAACATTAACACATAACAAACAAATTCGGCCCATTAGTTTTACACCTAAAAACATTCAATCCCAGTCAACGCCTATAATAACCATTTAATACAATAGATGATAATTTTACTCTCTCCTAAAATTTCACCCAAACATATTACAGAAATCAAAATGTCTAAATCCTAGCTTACAAAAAAGATCATATTAAACTTGTGGCATTTATTTATGCCACATGCGATGCCTCGAGTCAGCCACAACGTGGAGTCTTTTTCGAAGCTGCAGGGAAATTTAATTGCAGTTATAAATCTGTTTCAAGGCATTGAAAATCAGCCGAAGAGAAGAAAGTTAAAGGGAAGAATATTTTTTCATATAGAAAAAAAATATTGGCAAAAATGACAGGATCATACCGGATTTGGTGGCAATGAGAGGTAGATTGTGCTGCAGTGATCCTCAATCAGAACTCTAGCAAAGAGAATGCAATGCTCAAAGTTAATGGTGCATATATGGGTTAAAGAAAACCAAATTCGAGCTCATACAAGTGTAATTAAGTCAGAACTTATCGAGACCAATAAACTTGCAAGATTATGTTTATCCTTACAAGCATTAGATCATTTTTGGTGCATTGAAAATGCACAATTTCAAAATATGAAAAACATAGTTCATATAGATGAAAAATGGTTTTATATGTCCAAGGCTAGCCATAGATTTTATTTGACCACGCTAGAAAAGGAACTACACATAACATATATTTTTTTTAAAGACGAAAGAGTATTATTTTCTCACACAAAATATTTAAAAGATAATAACAACTATTGTCTCCATTGAAGCTAGCGTAGGAGCATGAAAACAAGTGAATACGAACATAAATAACATGACATTCTTGGCCACCATCATCAGCCCAATCGACAATTATTTCCTCAGATAAAAAAAGGGTGCCTACTTTCTCCAAAATTTTATTTCTTTCTGGCCTTGATTATCTGAAAATAGACATACAAAATAATATAATGATATGGTCAGAAATCAAATAGGAATCATTCAAAATACTAAAAGTTATTTGGGGTGCAGATAAAACAAGTGTTGTTCAGAAATACCTTGTGAGTCCTCTTCATACTGTAATTCCCTTCATTTTATTTGTTCTAACGTTTCTATCACTTGTTCGAGATCCCTCGAGAACAATAGGAGGTCCTCATAAGCTGCATCTTCCAGTGATCGTCGCCACAGATGCTTAGAATTCATATACTCTGCTACTGCAAGAAAAGGACCTGTCTCCTCATGGTAATGAGATCTAATTTCTTGGATTTTTCTTTCCGAATGAACTTCAACAACTTCCTGTAAAAGACAGATGGATTCCTCAACATTTTCCCTTTGCGTATTATTCAGATGATGACGGCCGAGATCAAAAGCCTTCCGTAGGACCTCTAGAACGCATGCTGTATCACACCAGATTAAACTAGCACTCTCTGTCATTGTCGCCGTAATAGAACCAATTTGATATTCTCTTAAATCATCATCAGTAACAGAAATGCTCTTGAAAATCCTCAATTTTTCGATATCACAGGGTGTATCATATCCACCTTGCTCTTCTTTTTCCTCTTCAGCTTCGGACATAGCTAATGCCTTTTTTATGAAAACTATCTTTTCCAACAGTCTTTGCACGTCGTCGCGGGTGTTCTTTCCAAGTATAGGCAGCAAAGCTTCCAAGCGCAGCCTGCGGATAACGACCTTTGCTTTATGTGCAGCCAAGGCTATTTCGTTCGACAGACTTTCCATTTCTAGGCTCTTACTTGGGTGAAAAACTTTGTAAAAGTTTTGCAAGAATTGGATGTCTTCCTGCACGACTTTCATTTGTTTTGTGCATAGAGAGTGGCGGCCACGTTGTGCGACCAGCTTGAGGTTATCATAGAGACATTTGAAATAAGCCAAAGATTCACAAGCAGCACTTGTAATCCTTGCTATGAAAGCATCGATTTGATATGAGACTGTACCGATAACATCAATTCTAATCTCATTTGAAACCTCTTGTTGCTCATCCCATATTTCTTTAGCTGAATGAATTACAGAGTCACTGCATCTCTCTAGAATAATTGATTGCAATGTTGGAATATCGCCAATGCCCGAAGGGATCTCCTGTAATAAAGGTAAGTTCCTAAGCTCAAGCTGCTCAAGAACTGGGAAGTGCATTGCATCAGCTCTCCAACACACTAAGTTATTGTATTGAATGATCAGTACTTTTACGCGACGAAATTCCCCATCAACAGGCTCCCACACTGATCCTTGCACACAATCAATTATTACAAGGGATTCAAGACTAAGCAATGAACCAACAATTGGCATATCTTCCCATTTCATTCGGCAAGATGCCAAAGTTAAATGTTTGAGTGAATTAGGGAAGCTTATATTCTCCCAGCAATTGCTTATCGACAAGGATTCAAGTTTCTGTAGTTGCTTAAGATTATATAGAGAATAGTTCATTTGTTTTTCGCCCACCTCGGATCCATCTTTATAATGAACATTTTGCTTCTTCAGATTCCAATCTTGCTTGCTCTTCTCAGATTCATATCCATAACTTAGAACCAAATTGTTCAGATTCGGTATTCTATCAATGATATCCTTTGTGCACATGAAATTATATACTCCTTGTATGGTGTGAAGGCCATTTAGGACAACACAATCTCTCCTAGGATTAGGTAAAACAACATCGAAAATAGATATAATATCTCTAAGCTGTGTCATCTCCCATATCTCTACCGGTAAAACCACTAGTGAAGAGGTCGAAAAGATTCTTAAACTTTGAAGATTCCAAAGTAATTGTAATGTTGAAGGAGCCAACAATTTCACCACATGTAAATTAACATGGCGAAGTTCTATTGATAGAAAATCATCTTTCTCTGTACCATCACCGTAGTTGGCAATGCTCACCAAACTAGGTCTTTTGATATGTGAATACATCATCTTACAAGTATCACAAACAAGACAATTAACTTGTGATGACGATCCAAAGACATAAAATGGTTTCCGAACATCTATTCCTTCTTTATCCTTAACTTGTTTATCACAATGGTTGCATTGAATTTCCTTATCAAACCATCCTCCAAGAGTTTGTAATCTTGGAAATCGGAAAAAGAACTCATTGTCAGATTCTCTTAACGTAAGGTCACGTAAAAGATCATGAATACCGCATCCATTTATACCTCTACCAAATATTAGATTTCTATCTATAAGACTTTTTACTTGCTCCTTTGCAATATTCTCCAAACTTGTATGATCTACTTGTTTAATGAATCCCTCAGCAATCCATAAGTCAATTAGGTGTGAGATGTCAATCCATTCATCTTCACGAAAAATTCGCATAAATAAAAAGCACGGTTTGAGATGAATTGGCAAACTCTTATAACTTAAATTTAACACTTTCATGCAGTGCTCATCATCTACTAGATTAGCGAGTGCACTAATATTCTTTTCAATATTTTCCCAATATTTTACGGTCATGTCAGAATTAGCAAGCAAACGACCTATAACAACAATTTCTAAAGGAAGCCCTCTACAACTTTTTGCAATACCCTTTGCAATTCTTTCTAAGTGTTCATATGGGCAACCTCTTTGTGAAAAAGCATTTTCACAAAATAAAGTCCAACTTTCATTCTCGCTTAAAAAAGATAACATATATGGCTCATACGATCCTAAAGAAGCAGCCATGTGTGAGAGTCTAGTCGTGCACAGCATACGACTTCCATTCATATTGTCGGGGAAATACCTCCATAATTCATCCCAAGCTCCAGATGTCCACATATCATCCATTACAATCAAATACCTCCTACTGTATAATCTCCTATAGAATCTAGTTCCCAACTCATCTAAACTTTCACAAATTTCATTTTCTCCTGCCTTTTCTTGAAGGCCCACTTTAAGGATTTGCTCACTACTATATTCTTGGGATATGGAAAGCCAAATGCGTAAATCAAAGTGGTCAACAATAAATGAATCATCAAAGACACTTTTAGCCACAGTTGTTTTACCGATGCCCCCCATGCCAACGATTGGGAGGATTTGGAAATTAGAACCACCTCTGATGAGCTTGTCCCTGATCCTATCCACATGATCGTCCAGTCCCACCACAACATTGCTGACATATGAAGATGCTGCTGATGAACCAGCTGCAAGAACAAAAGCATTTGGTTGCTTTTGAGTTTGAGCATCCTCCCCTTCTTCTTGAATCGGCAACTCTTTTTTAATGGAATGAAAATTTTGGCTAAGTGCCTCCATTTCTTCACAGAAATCTGAGAAGCCTGCATCGTCACTTGTTTCTCCCTGAGATCTTGCATAGAGTAGATTGCTTACATGGAAGTTGATGGCACTTTCTGCTTCAGCGGCCGCCTCAGCCATTTGCCTCCACAGACCTTGAAGCTCTGGGCTCTTCCTTTCTGAATGAAGCTCGACAAATTCAAGCAAAAGATTTACATTTTCCTGGAGCGCTTCGACTTGTTTGATGTCGGCACGAGGGAGATTTAAACGGGCTCGACCATGGAGATTTTTGAGAACATGAGTAAGAGAAACCAAAGATGCATAAGCAGCTACAGCCATGTCTAAATTCTCTAGATATTATTTGTGCAGCAAAAATCTATGGAGTTGTTCAGATCTGGCTTTTGAGGTGATGATATTGATCAATGAATGTCATGGCAAATGGATGTTATCATAATAATAATAATAATAATAATAATAATAATATTTAGTCATCACCAACCTGCTTTGTTTATAAACTACATTCTTGTCAAGATTGGCATGCAGATGCAGTCATAATATTATTATTCACCCTACTTGCCATTTAGTATTATTTGTTCATAAAATAATTATAATACAATAAATATTTAAGTGAAAAAACAAACCAATACACTTCAAGCGTGTTTTGTCATTCGAATCTTCATTTTCCCATTAAAAGTATATTGTTGGCTTGGTGTGACGTGAAATTTTTTATTGTTAGTCTAATGTCACTTCAAGAATGACTAAATTCACAAAAGTTGAAACCAAGAGGGCATTACTGGAACAAATTATTTTAAGCAAATTATTCGTAACTTCAAACACTTGGAATTTGAAAAGTTCAAAGGGCTGTTGGAAAAGAGTGATTACATTTAAGGAAGTAACAAAATAAATTTATATTTTGGACGTGACTACATTTTTCAAAGAGCAAAAATGATTTTTAATCGCATTGTATATCATAGTTATAAATTTTGATCTAATTGAATTACTTATTTATTTTTTTTTAATTTTGATTTCATTTAAATTAAAATTCATAATAGTTGATACGGACTAAATACGACTGTGTTGGCTTGAACACGATTGTGTTGTATTAGTCACCTTTCTGAAGAGTCATTCAATACGATCATATTCAAACCAACATGCCATGTTAAGCCTCTGTGTCAACTGCTATGTCAATCTTCCCATGGTTGCGTCACTATTGCCCACTGACCATGACCATGATAGTTGAAGGCAGCAAAGCAGAGACACTAGGTGATGCTTGGCTGAATTTTGGATCTTGATTAAGGCAATCTATTATTCCTAACATCCATCTTGGACAACTCATTCTCCTTTCCCTTCCACTTTGTTGGTATATTTTAAGAAAGAGAAAAGAGACAAAATTAAGAATTTGCTACCGGAAGGCTGATTTAACATCGAGTTTGTAAACCTTCTAGCCATTTTCTGCAACTATTGCAAGCAATACTTTGATTGTTTCTAGCCTTGCAACAAGAGAAAAAATGTTGAAAATATCAACTCCAAAAATCTGAGCATACCCTTTCACAACAAGCTTAACTTTGTACTCATTTATTGATTCCAATAACTTTATTGTCATCTGGCCTTTTCACCAATATCCATATGTTATTTTTATTAACACGCGTCAATTTCATCTTACATTGCAGAAGTCCATTTTGGATTCTTTTTAGCTTCCCAAAAATATGTAGGTTCAAGAACAACAGGGTCATCAATTATCTTCTTCGAGTTGCAATGTTGGGTCTTGATCCGGTAAAATAAAATAAAATAATAAATAAAATAATCTACTTGTACGGTAAAGATAAATGTAGCATAGATGAAGTAGAGTCATCTCCTCAGGGAATTAAAAAATATTTTATTTTCGATTGTTTAATATATAGATATTATAAAAGGAGGGTTTTGGAAGTTGGAAATAAAAATAAAATAACAAACTAAAAATCTACGGCTAAAGGATAAACTCAATAAAAATAAGCTTTCCGTCTATGAATGAAATTGACAATTTGGATAGTGGATTTGATCATCCATAAATATTTAATTTAATTGGTTTCTAAATAAATTAGTTATAATTACCGACACGTGCCTAATAACCAACTCTTGCTTAATTTCTCGAGTACACCACAAAGAATTTGCTAGTCTAACCGCCTTGCGAACTAGAGAAGCCTGTTTCAACTTAAAAATTACTTATGCGGAATTGTTTACGATTTATTTCGTGATTTCCTAGTGGTGCCTACCCCTAATTACTACTTGAACCAATTAAAACACAATTACAGATGCCTAATTTAGTTTAGCAATTAATCTTTAATCTAATTGAAATAACGGGCCACAATACCAAACCAAATGATATATTATTAAACATTAAAATCAGAAATCATACAAATACTTAGAACCAAGAAATATCATAACATCAAAACAAAATCTAATCTCACAAATCCATACTAAGTTTTTTCTTTCACTCTTAAAATAGAAAAGTAACTACTCGCTAATCATACGAAGAGGAAGAACAAAGAATATAAAGATAAACATCATCTTAAATAGATTGGATTGATGGGAAGAACTCAAAATCTTCTTCTTCTTGTCTTTGCATGATTTCTCTCTTGGTGTGTTCTGCAAGGTTTTCTCCTCCTTGGATCTGAATGTGCGGCGCACCCCTCTTGTTGTTTCTTTTATATTTGGCTTTTAGGCCTTTCATTAATTTTATATGTTAGCACATCTCAATTATTTCACTTTTTCTACAAATTATGTCAAATTTGATATTTGTCTTCTGCATAAAACAAATAAACAATAGGTATGCTATTTCTGGCTATTACATCCTCTATAAAATGCACATCTATGCTTACTAGAATTTTCTTAGCATATGATTGGAAAACTATTGTTTTTGAGATTGTGCTGTAACCGATGAAGATCCCTTCTCCGAATTTTTTATCAAGCTTGTCCCTTTAGTTAACCTATTGAGGAAAAATATGACAATGTGTGCTTCTTTTGCCCAGCATTCTTTTGGCAAACTTTTCTCAAACATCAAGCATCTAGCCATCTCCATTATGGTATGATTCTTCCTCTCACTGACTCTATTTCATCGTGGAGTGTATGGAGCGAGTACTCCTTGCCATTAAGGGATCTCAAACTTCAAAATTTGCAACCACCTTTTATTTCAATCCATTGCTTGAATTTTCGAAACACACCAACAACTTTTGATAAGAATTTTTCAAAATAGATCCAAAAAATTTAGAATAACCATCACTGAATACCAAGAAGGACCTACTTCCATTTAATGATGGAGTTTTGGAAGGTCCACCTTAATCTTTGTATATCAACCCTTGCTTCTAGTAGCTCTAAGTTTTACAATCTGGAATTTTAGATTCAAGATCAAGAAGACCTTAAGCCACATCCTTCGTCTTCTAGTTCAACACAACTCTATGGTTGAAATGCCCAAGCCTTTTGTGCCAAACTTCTGCATTAGATATATTTTTTTAATTTTTTTATTTTTGCGAAAAAGGCAGTTTGCAGAAGGTTGATGAAAATTCCTTCTCCTTCCACTTTATCCACTAAAGTTTCTTCAAAATCAACTGTGCCTTTCTGACTACTCTGCCAACATCTTCAGAGTATGATGAGAACTTTTCAACCCTCCAAATTTCCAGAAAGCATCGCGAGTGATGCCTTTAATTCATAAACTCTGCGTCTAGTTCTTGGCTTTTCAATTCAGGATGTTCATGAACATCAACGAAATCCCTCAAGAATTGGATGGTCTAATTGACAACTTCCATTTGTTTTGAGTTCAGATGATGGCGTCCAAATTCAGCAGCCAGTTGGAGGAGCTCCTAATTGCTATGAGACAAAAACGCAACTCATATCATATGTGTTAGACACTTAAAGTAGATGGAAATTAATGATGGCTCGGCCAGCCATAACTGCAAGAATTGAAATCAATTAAAAAGAAAACCTGCAAGGATGACAATATCCCTCTAGAAGAAACCTTTGATCCTACTATGCCAATTAACATGGTCAATTTCCATTTGTGTTTTTGGTGATTTTTTAAGTTTTGAATTTTATTTTGAAAAGTTGTTTGCATGTAATTTGCTTCACATGAGATCCGTTTTTCGAATTTGGAAAGGCGAAAAAAAACTTTTTATATGCGAGAAAACCATATATTGTTAGGATATCATGAATTGCATCATAAAAAAATGAAAGAAGTTGTTCATTGACATGTTTGGTAGCATGACTGGTTTCAATTCCTTGAAAGAGAGGAAAACTTGAGGTGTAAAAAGGTGATTTTTGTGCAATTTTGCAGCTGCCATTCATGAATGACAGCCAACAAATTAACTTCAGTATCTTATTATTCACATACTATACATTTAACAACAAAATTTTAACAAGGCAAAAACTAAATACACAAAAAAGTAAATTACTGGATAATTAAGTGTTTGTTTATTTGGTAATTTTAGGTTTTGATTTTAATTTTTGGTTTCAATAAAGGGTTAGATGTATTTTCATAGAAAATAATATATTTTGGAACGTTACAAATTTCTATAAATATTATCAAAAAAATAGAATTATATATACACATTAATCAGTTAATATAACTTATACATTTTAACTCATAAAAATTCAACAATTCATCGAAAAATACTATTTTTTATATTACTTGCACAATTATCATTCCTAACATAAATAATAAATTCACCCAAAAATATAAAGTGAACACACCCTTAATGTCACTGATAAAATAGTAAGAGGTCCGAAATTTGGCAATGATAAAATTATTTACCTATAGTCATGTTTGAAAAATAGTGGACACGAAAGTCTAATCCATGATTGCAAACCTAATGTCTAAATACACAATAATTGAAAAACAAAATGGTTTGGTGAGCTGCTTGTGTATTTCTAAACCAAATATCAGAACTCGATGAAGTCAGTTGCCCTACTGAAGTTGTTGGATAGTACAGAAACAAGATAATCAAATAACTTAGCAAATACGGTATGAATTGCTTGATTAGTGCTGTGTCTGCACAATATATTTGGAGAGAAAAAGATTTCTTATATTATACCCATTACAAGACTCCTGCAAATATATAGAGATAGAAGAAAAATTCTAAATCCACAGTAGAATAGAAGAAGGGATATAGTTGACTTTTTATTTTAACAGATATATTACTATTTTTCCATTTTTCAGCAAAACAAAAACATTAAAAGCCTCACACAATTATTTTGGAACTACTGAGGCACAATAACAACTTTAACTTTCACAGCAATTACTTCAAGCTTGATTGTTATTGCTAGTATGATCATACGAGGCCGTACTGCTTTGCCCCTGTGAGGAACCCACATATCGTCGATCCATTGTGGTATTAGCAGGGTTTTTCATTCGGGTTTCCAGACTTTTCCCAAATGTCTCCACATCGCCTCTTAACTGGCCGAGTTTTTCGTAGCTAAGTCCTTGCACGCTATCCACTCCTGGTGGCATAATCTTGTCTTTCTCGATGTCGTCCTTCATTTTTGCCAACTCCTTTCCTTTCTCTTTCTCTGCAGCTATACCTGCCTCAAGCTCCGCAAGGGCGTCAAGTTCTGTTTGGTGCATCGATGCCAAGTACGGGTCTGGATTATTTTGCGTAGCTTGTGGGATTTCATAGTTATTTATCACGGATGTTATATCAGGAGTCCCAAACGAATATGCCTTGTTCGTCGGGGAGAATACAACCACACCAGCTTCTGCGCCGGTCAGAGTGCCGAGCTCACTGGCTTTTTTAGATATGCCACTGTAGCGCTTCGAAAATGTGACCTGCAGATTACTTTGGTTTTCGATCTTAGTTGTGCCAGTCTTTCGCCGGCCCTGGCCTCTTCCTGCATGAGATTCTTGAGACCGATCATCAGAAGGATCCATAGTAAAAATTGGTAGCCAACAAAAAGATACAAGAGATGGAGTTGACACACTAGAAATGTTTTCAACTCAGGTATTTATAACCAAAACTATGGTTTCTTGAGGAAATTTAAATTTATGTTTCAACTCCATAGTTTGCATTATGGAGATTCTGCATAAATTTTGCATTAATACAATTTTTCCAATATTTCGAAATAAAATCTTGGGAGTTGTTTTTTCATATTTTGAAGATATAGTTTTAATTGTTTGAAACTATTCGATGCATAATGCTATTGTTTTAAATGTACAAATAATCATTAGTTTATTGTCTAAAGTATTAAAATTGGTATTTCATCAGGAATAATTATACATTACATATATCATATTTAACATTTTTTTATTAAAATGATTTTGATCAAAATGAATAAAAAAAAAAACCAAAAAGAAGAACGGAAAATTATAAAACCAATTGGTACAACTATAAGTTGGGTAACTCTGATTTTAATTTTTCTTTTTTGATGGAATTTCTAAATCAACGGTAGAATAGAATTGAGGTATTTTCTCTGGCAAACTAATTTTGAAAAAGTTAAAAGAAAATAACTAAATAAATTTCTTAGGGTATAGTATTTGCATAAAGTTCTTAATTTGATATGTAAAAGTTTGAAGGGATCGGAGGCAAACTTATGCGAGTTGTGTAACCTCAAACATTAAAGTATTATATTAAAATACAGAATCATAATAATTTGAGTTTTAGAATCTCCCATAATAAAAATCTGACAAAAACACCATCACATTATAGGGTTTGTTTTTCCACAATTCCCAAAAAATACATTTTCTCAAAAAATTAATTTATTACACACTTATTATTTTTATATTACTTACATAATTCTCTATATTTCACTTAAAAAAATATCTTTTCAAATAATTTCCCTGAAGAAACATATTTATAGCCTTTATCAAACAAAATTTATAGCTTCTCTTCAAACAATTTCAAATAAAAAAATATCTCTTCAAACATACTTTTCATATAAATTTTCAAAAATAGCTCCTATCAATAAATTTTTGAAATTTATATATTCAGATAATATATTTTTAGGGAAGAAGCACAAATATGCAAATTAGAGTTGTGTTTGCCTTTATATTTACACTTACGCTTTTGCCCTAGTCAATTGAAAAATTATATTTTTCAGTTCAATTTAAAAAAAAAAAAAAACTGGTTCTTTATTTTTTTTTTTAATTCCACAACACCTAGTCACACAAAAATTTGAATGTCATTTTTTTTCCGAGAAAAACTCGCAAAATCAAAACGCTAACCAAAGACATTCGCTACATTGCATATCCACGGGACCTGTTGCATGAAAATACTTTGAGTATCTTATTCATATAAGAAATTAAGAAATATTGCGAAAAACAAATTCACAAAAATAATATTAGTTAACACTCAAAAGAAGAAGTAGTGATAATTTATTGAATATGAGTTTATATCCGAGGGCGAAAAGATATATGTAGGAGAATCGATATTTATACGAAACAATAGTTTTCCGTATTTACAAATGCGTATTCTCTTAATAAAATTGAAGATCAAATTGTATGTATTTCTAAAATTTCATACAATTATTAGCGTATCTAAGAAGATTATAATTTTAAAATTCGGTAAGGAAATATTAATATGCGATCTTAATAATAGAGAGATGCGCATGTAATGAATTTATTTTTTTTATTTGGTAGTAATGTCATTTATCGATACAAGACAAGTTTTAAATCATTTAAGATATTCACAAAAAAATATTAAACTTTAGTATGGTACCAAATTTGTGAACAATTATATAATATGATAGACATCTATATATTAAATGACAAGAAAAATGTTGAAGTGTTATATATATATATATATATATGTTACTGTGTGTGTGCGTGTGTGTGTTAAACCTTTGAAATAAGAGAAAAAAATTTGAATGGTACAAATTTGTGGACTGATTGAAAAACTTTACAAACTACAATAATAATGTTAATGATACTTACAAAATATAATGGAAGTTGTATAAACACTTAATCCAAAGTGTTAATAATACAACGTTGTCCTAAGACGGCAAAGCTACATCATTAATCTTCGTAATACTATTGCTTCAACAATTTATATGATTTCATACATACAAGGTTTACTCCATCTAACATCATTTTAAAATTTAATTATTAACAAACCTATTTTTCTAAGGAAAAAAAATAAGTGAGTCTAAAGTAAACATACAAAATGCAAAACCTTTTCAATGCTCCCAAGACGAATATATATGAGATCGAGTTTTTCATCAATGCTCCCGAGACGTAGATGAACTTGTTGTATCTATAAGTTAATATGTGAAAAGCTTACCAACTTGTCCGAAATATATGAATGATTTTCTATATAAAAAAAACAAAAAACAAAAAAAATGAATAGGTATTATCATGGGATTATTCGTTCAATTGTGTTTAAAATATAAGGTAAAATATATGATATAATTTGATAAGAGTTAAGTGCCAATTATGAGGATGACCCGGTATTGCCAAACGATAAAAGTATGTAAAAGATATGATAATGAAAGGTTGTTGTTGAAACCTGATTTGGATTTAGTTGTCTACCCAACCCGAAACCAAAGCGAAAAGACTATTTCAATTAGTAGAGATTCTTTTTGGCCATCTTAATTAAATAACAAATGGACTTAGGGTTTATGGTGTTTAGGAGTGCTTATATACAGATAGTTATAGTTCTAGCCGTATTGAATAATTCTAACCCTCTGAATCAGTATAATGAAATATTTCCGATTCCTACCGGTGGATGTAGGTTGACATACCGTCACATCACCATGTAAAACATCCATGTTCTTTATTTGCTTTGTTTTTCGTTTTCTCATAACATGTGGTATCAGAGCCATATATGATTGATTGAAGATGTCTTCGTATAATTTTGATCTGAAGAAGTTTAATAGGTCGAATGACTTCATGCTCTAGAAGTTCAAGATGAGGGCACTTTTGGTTTAACAGGGATGGACGGCTGCGTTGGATGGAGAAGACAAGTTTTCTAAAGATATGAAGGAGGAGGTGAATAAGGAGATTTTGACAAAGGCTCATTTCGCCATCTTGTTGTTAGTTACTGATGAGGTGTTACGGAAGGTTGTAGATCAGACGATTGCTTCTGGATTATGGGATAAACTGTGTGAGAAGTACTAGAAAAACTCTCTCACGAACAGGCTATATCAAAAGCAACGACTGTACACCCTCCGAATGTCTGAATGTACTCAGGTAAAGGACCATCTCGATGTCTTTAACCGTATTATTCTTGATTAAGGGGTTGAGGTTAAAATAGATGATGAAGATCAAGCTCTAATTTTACTGTGTTCACTACCTGATTCATATGAGAATTTTTTGGGTACTATGTTGTATGGTAGAACTACAATTTCTGTTAATGATGTGAAATATGCTCTTCTGTCTAAAGAATTAAAAATAACAGTTTCTGGGGAAGAGGATTCTGGTTCAAGTCTATAATGGGAATGAGATGTCGCGTTCAAAATCAAAATCCTCTAGCAAAATTAAGTGCTATCTTTGCAAGAAGAATGGATGCATTAAAGGGATTGTGCATAGAGGAAGAGAAATATAAAAGTTCAGTCTACAGTTCTGATGATGGGGACCTTGGTGAAGTTCTGATAGTATATAGTGCTAGTACTGTTGATACATGGATTATGGATACCAGTGTTTCTCACAATATGACGTTCTTTCGTGATGTACTCACTTCTTGCAATGAGTGGAGTTGAACAGTGAAGTGAGGTGATGAGGGGGTTCTGGCCACAAAGAGAAGCGAGATAGTGCAAATAAAATTGTACGACAGTACTGTTAAAAAATTTGACTGCTGGTATGTTCCTGAACTCAGAAAGAATTTAATTTCTCTTGGCACCTTAGCCAAGAATGGTTTAAAGTATTATGGTAAAAGTCTTGAAAGGTGTTCTGGTGCTGACGAAGGGAAAACTACAACATGAAATTTATTTTCTAAAGGATAGTTTAGTGATTGGAATGGCGGTGATATCCCACTCCTTGGATAAACATGATAACAGGACAAATCTTTGGCACCATTGATTGGGTCACATTAGTGATAAAAGGTTGTCTGTGTTGAGCAAGAAGGCTTTACTTGGTGAGGATGTGACAAGTAAAATTTAATTTTTTGAGGCTTGTGTAAAAGGAAGCAACGCAGGGTGAAGTTTAGTTTCGGTCATCACACTTCATACGTAATTATGGACTATGTTCATTCAGATTTATGGTATCCCTCTCCGGTGAAATCGCAGGACGATTGTTCTTACTTTGTCACTTTCATAGATGATTACTCAAGAAAAGTCTGGTTGTACTTTCTGAAGACTAAATATGAGGTGTTTGGGAAGTTCAAGGAGTGGAAGACCATTGTTGAAACACGAACGCGTAAACAAGTGAAGACTCTAAGAACTGATAATGAGTTGGAGTTCTGTAATACTTCATTTGATGATTTCTGCAAGAAAAAATGTATAGTGAGACACCGCATTGTATGACACACATCATAGAAAAATGGGGTTGCAGAGCATATGAACCAAACCTTCATGGCGCGTGCTAAGTGTATACGCATATTTGCTAGCTTATCTAACCAATTCTGGGCTGAAGCAATTAACACTGCTAGCTATTTGGTTAATAGATCTCCATCAACTGCAATTGACTTAAAGACTTCTCAAGAGGTATGGTCCGGTAAACCCTCTAATTACTCTAATCTAAGAATATTTGGATGCCCTGCATACACTCATGTGAATGATGGTAAACTGGAGCCGAGGGCGGTAAAATGCATATTTCTAGTATATTCAATAAGAGTCAAAGGTTATCAATTGTGGTGTAAAAAAGGTAAAAATCATGTTAAAGTTCTTAGTAGTAGAGATGTAACCTTTGATGCATCTGCTATGCTTGGTTAGAGTGGAGGTTGTGAAAGTATTGCAGGTACAAAAGATTGTGGTGCTGACCAGAAGGTGGAGTTTGAGACTCTGACAACATTGTGTGAGAGGAAGAGCAGCAAGATAATATTATTGATCAATCCGATCAACTAGATCAGTTAAAAACTCAAGGAAAACCGATTGAGAAGGAAGCTGGTGAGACTCGTACTGGGGTTATAGATTCCATAGCAGCTAGAAAGAGAAAGAGAAATCTTCAAAAACCAACTAGGTTTGCAGGATGTGTCAATACTTGTGACATGGATTATGTGGCTTATGCATTGGCGGTTGATGATGATCTTGGCTCTGACGATCCAAAGACATATAAAGAAGCTGTGACGAGTAAAGATGCAAGAAACTAGATTATAGCAATGAATGAAGATATGCAATCTCTTGAAAAGAACAAGACTTGGGATTTTGTTACACTACCAATAGGGGTGAAGCCAGTGGGATGCAAGTGAGTCTTTAAAAGAAATGAGGGAATTCCTGGTGTTGATTCTGCTAGGTTCAAGGCAAGACTGGTGGCAAAGAAGTTTTCACAGAAAGAAAGAATCGATTACCATAAAGTCTTTTCTCCTGTGGTGAAACACAAAACCATCCGAGTTCTTTTGGCAATGGTGGATACTTTTGATTTGGAGCTGAAGCAGCTTGATGTAAAATCAACATTCCTTTATGGTAATCTAGAAGAACGGATCTACATGTCTCAACCGGAGGGGTTTGACAGTTCTAAAAAGGACAAGGTATGCTTGTTAAAGAAATCTATATATGACTTAAAAACAGTCTCCGAAGCAGTGGTACAAGAGATTTGATTCTTTCTTTGTGGCTAGTGGTTATACTCATAATCAATTTGATAATTGTGTTTACTCGAAGAAAGTTTCTAGTGATTCATTTGTGTACCTGCTGTTGTATGTGGATGATATGTTAATTGCAGCTAAGAATATAGTTGTAATTAATGACTTAAAGGCTCTACTAAAGGGTGAGTTTGAGATGAAGGATTTAGGTGCAACAAAGAAAATAGTGTGTATGGAGATCTGGCGTGATAGAGAAGCACGACGGCTATGAGTTTCTTAAAATAAATCAATATATTACAAAAACTTATTATTTTTATATTTCTTACACAATTCCCTATATCTCACATAAAAAAATATCTTTTCAAACAATTTCACTAAAAAAACACACTCTATGAATTTCCAAAATTAGCCTCTATCAATATATTTTTGAAATTTAAATACTCAAGATAATACTCTCTTCGTCCGCTTCTAAGAGTCACATTTACATTTTGCGTCATTCTACTTAACATTAAAAATATTCTTACATTTGTATTATTGTTTGTAAAATGTCCTTGTGTTAGTATTATAAGACACTAATGGAAGTATTTTTGCAATTTTTCTTAATTTGTACTATATTTTGATATAATAATTAATATTCAAAGATCAACATACAAAACGTAAATGAGACCGTTAGAGCCAGACAGAGGTAGCATATTTTTACGGAAGAAGCACATATATACAAATTAGAGTTGTATTTGCCTTTATATTTACACTTATGCTTTTGCCCTAGTCAATTAAAAAATTATAGTTTCCCATTCAATTTCAAAACAAAACAAACAAATTGCTTTTCTATTTTTTAATTTCCAAACGCAATCACACAAAGATTTGAATGTCATTTTTTTTTCAAGAAAAACTCTGCAACATCAAAATGCTAACCACAGACAACCGCAACATTGCATAACCGCGGGACCTTTTGCATGAAAACACTTTGAGTATCTTCTTCATATTCGAAATTAAGAAATAATGCGAAAAACAAATTAATAAAAAAAAATAATATTAATAACACTCAGAACAAGAAGTAGTGATAATTTATTGAATATGAGTTTATATCCGACTGCGAGAAGATATATGTAGGAGAACCGATATTTATATGAAACAATAGTTTTCGGTATTTACAAATATGTATTCTCTTAATAAAATTGAAGATCAAAATGTCTGTATTTCTAAAATTTCATACAATTATTAGCGTATCTAAACAAATTATGATTTTGAAATACGGTAAGAAAATATTAATGTGCAATCTTAATAATAGAGAGATGCGCATATAATGAATTTTTTTTTTTATTTTTATTTGGTAGTAATGTCATTTATCGATACAAGAAAACAAGTTTTAATCCATTTAAAATATTCATAAAACATGTTTGCGTTATTTTTTGTATTTTAGGATTTATTTATTTTTTTGTAAACTTAAATTTTTATGTTAATGAAAAATATTGTTTAGACATAACATAGGGGAAAAATTATTTGTTATTTCATTATAAATTGCACTAATAAATGTTAATCTCACTGAAAATTTTTAAACAACTTTGATCATGTAGAATATAAAATTAAAATTTTTTGGTGACATCGTTAACTTACAACGAAAATTGCTGACGTAACTTGTTGATATAGAACGAACACAACAATGTAGGATGGTATCATAGTACACGAAGGTGTTGCTTGATTTAAAAAGCTAATTAAGCTTTACAAATGTCTTTATTAATTTTATTTTGAATGAAACTAAAATTGATTAAATTTTTAATGAAGCCAAATTTGATTAATATATTTTCCAATGGGAAGAAAAATATTATTTTGCACTAAAATATATCAAATGAATATTTAGTACTCCATCCGTCCCATATATCATATCCACGTTGTCGTTTTTGTCCGTCCCACATACCATGTCACTTTTCTTTTTTGTAAAATGATTACACACTTTAATCTCATTTTAAATTTTTTAATTTTTTTTTAATTTTAATTAAACTAATTAGTTATCTTAATTTTAATTTATAATTATTTATATTATAGGATAATTATTTTCATTAATACATTTTTAATTATCTATTAATTACTCCTACTAAAATACCGTGTCTACAGTGTAGCAGACACGGTATCTGGGACGGAAGGAGTATTGAATACAATATCTTTCAACAGTGAATATAAAAAGAAGTACATGCATGTCGTCAATTGTGCAGATTCCTTGAATATTGTGTCCTTTGTGTAAATATAGATACATATTTTTTAATGGAGTTTTTTGTTTGGGGTTGGATTTTGAGTTGGGATTTAAATAGTAAAAATTTTGAATTTGAATAGTTGTATAATCTGATATAAACAGGCGATGATGTGATATTTTGAATGTAAAATTGGTTTTTAGTATAATATAAAAAATAAAAAATTAATTGTTTGATTTGATATTTTTAAAGAAAAAAAGGAATGAACAGTGTATTTAAAATCTAATCCCCAAACAAACACACCCTAAGAGTAACAACTAAAATTGCCACCACTTGAGATTGTTTAAGCTAAAATTGCCACCACTTGAGATTGTTTATTTATATTAGGTGGGAACCTTCTACTATAATTCTTTGCCCATCATACCTAAACCATAAATATACTTTCAATCATGTAAAATGCATCCCCTTTCTCACTATAATTCTTTTAAAAGAATGCTATTATTTCGTCCTATTGTTTCTGTCATAAGCCAGCAAAGGATTCTTCAATTCTGCTAAAAACCCTTCATTCTCTTCTTGTATGTATGCCTAAAACCCAGGCCACAATCTTCCAAGCATTTGAAACAAGTTTGATGCAGATTTGTATTGGTTGATCATCGTCTCTGGTAAGTTCTTTGAACCATTCATCTTAAACAACAAACAAATCGACGTTCGACCATCAGATTGTCTGAAGCTCCCAAATCAGGATACAGGTTAAGGTACTTTGACCATTTAACACAATTACTGCAGTTGGTTTGGAGCTCTGTCTATGGACAATTAGGTTACGAGTAATTTATAAAACCTATTCAATTTATATATCGATCTTTAATTAATCTTTGTTTCAGAACCTCAAGTCTAAGCAATATAGCATTTCATGTTCATCCAATACTATGGATATAATTAATCTATTTTAGTAGCAAAAAAAAAGCCCCTTAGTGATTTCATTAAGGAGTATGTAATTTAATTGAAATGAGAAAGTCAAATAAAACCAAACATAAGGTTTCTTTAAGGTCTTTAATCGTTTTGAATATTCAATACCATTATAGTATTCAATATTTTGTTTTTCCATGGCATCTAGATGTTAGGGCGTTAAATATTTTCTTTTTTTCTTGTTTCTTTTTTATTTTCTAAATTTGTGATTAGACTCTTTTTTCTGTTAGAAAATAACCATGAGAATATAATAAATTTATATAAATATATTAAAAAAATAATCAATTAATTTCCGAGTTGTGGGGATATCTTTCCGCAAAACATATGCGCTCCTATAGTGCCTCCATTTTATATTGTGAAGCTCAATGCTGAAGCTTGTAGGAGTACTATGCATCCAAGTCCTGTTATCAATAGTATTTTTTCAGCTTGACCATACAGTTTTTGGGCCGCCGATCGCTAGAGTTCTGCCTTTAATGTCTATAGATGCTTGTTTTACTCCATCTGAAATTAAGACTAACAAAACTATTGAAAATACATGGCCTGGCCGCCCTCAAACATACATTCTCCGAATCGGGTCACCAAATTATATCCTTTCATATTCCCGTTTTTATCTTGATTTTCTCATATTTTGCTACACTCTGGTTGCCAGCATAATATTTCAAAAGATAAAATGGTAAATGCCTCTTAGGTAGGTGACACCCCGATCTACCCGGTGGTGTGGTGCGTAGTGGGTTTAGTATGTCTAATACTTAGAGCTCCAACAAACAAAACAAGTCAATAACTGATTGGTTCCGGAGATGCAATGAAAGATAGATTCTTGCTGGAAATCAATGCTGGTTTAATTCGAAATTTTCGCGGATCTAGGGGGCATCATTGAGGACCATGGTCGCATCTAAAACCACCACATAATGTGTGTCCATTGGTATGTTATCACGCGGCGCTTGCGGATTTCTAGCTCTGACGGGTGGTGGTACATTGTTATTTCTATTGATATTTGCGGGTGGGGCTAACCCTTGTTGAAATGCTTGATTCTGTAGTACTTGTGTATGTTCTACCCTATACACGGGATCCCTTAATTTGTTCATCCTTTGTTGCATAGTTTCAGAGTTAGGATGAGAATGTCATTTATCGCAGGTGGCTCGGGCGCAACCTTCAACTGACGTACATGTAGCATATTTGGAAGATTTGTGTTAACTTTTTATGACATTTCCTGTTTCCTTAAGTTTCTCTTGAAATTCCTTTGGGCGCGGGCACTTATTCTCGAAGCATTTCTTCTTTCGTGGTCCATGCCAAAGTAAGCAATAGACCGTTAGATTTTGAGATAGATGATGGGACAATAATTATCATAAAACTCTGCCATCTCATTCAATTACATCCTTAAGACCAAAGCCCCGGAAACGACCTAAAAAATTTGATGTTTGAAGTTTAGGTTTTGGTTTTAAACTGTGATTATTGTGTGCATTGCGTTGCAACCCAAAACTTCTCATCATATAATAAAATTTTTCTCATGATAACTAGTGAGTGCCAGGTCAAACATAGGGCATTTTTGTAAGGTAAAATTCGACTAAAGATGAAGGCATGCATATGAACCAAATTGAATTGAGTATGATTTACATTGCTGAATTTCAATGTGACTTGAACTATTGTGCGAGATAAAATGACTTACGTGTTGTACAATTATTATTGTGTGCGAAAAGAGAAAAACCGACCAAGAGGTGGATGTGACGGAATGCGATATATGTATATACTTCATGCGTGAGAATGTTGCGTGAGAGTAAACACACGAAATATCTGCATGCTAATGCACCTCGTGATTTAGAGATTATTTGATCTATAAGTACTCTGAAAAGCTACATTAGTCATTGATTATTGCGTTGATGATCTATTTCTAGATGCATGTTTTACTGTCCTGCGAACCGTTCTTTTCGACATTCACGACTGATAAATCAATTAACTAGCTTGCCACCTACCTTCTAATGTATTTCTAAGTCAATTTGTAAGCGAGTCGCTGCTTTCGCAAGTGCCTGAAGTCTACGTAGCATCATGATTTCCTTTCGAATTCATTTAATTAGATTCAGTTAGGTGACGTATATGCGTCTTAAATCTCACTATCTTAAAGTAGTTCGCAGGCTGATATTTTGAGTTCATGTCATCCATGGGTGGAGGTGCGATGAAAAAATTTGATATTTTATTGTTAACGTATTAATAGAATTTAAACATCGTGATTAGCTAAGAATTGAACTTTTGAGTTAACTACATATTGAATGCTTGTTATACTAGAAAGCTTGTAAATTTATCTAAGTACGAAATTTAAATGGGATGGGCGGCGAGCATGCAGCTCCTGTCACGAGTGTTGCCGAGCATCCGCATCTAGCGTCCAAAGCTCCTTACAGCTTCAGCTCTCTTCCAACGAAGCGCGATTTCTTTTATTGTGAAATATTGATAAATGAGCTCAGGTTTGGGTCTTATTTATAGATGCCGACCCATCTTCTAGAAGGTGATGTCTACCATTGATAGCTAGAGAATTAACTTCCCACCGTCCAATCCCGCAGATACTAAATTGTGATCAATGGCCGAGATGGCTTTTGACACGAATTGAGACTGGAATACTGGTCAATCCAGCCCCCTTCTATCATACAGTTGGCCTTGCCTTTCTTTCTTCCTTCCTCTCGTAACGCGGCTATGTGATTTAGCACAGGGCTTGGTTGCTCGCACAAAACTTCTTTTAAACATAGAATTTTGCCTATTTTAAATACTCCAAAATCACCAAGGCACATCAATTAATACTAAAAAGATTCAACGTATATTTTCCAGGCAATTTTGGCACAAATTCCAACAATTATGTGATGCATCTTGACTAAGTGAGAAATCTAATTGTTCTTTTTCTTTCCAGAGACTTTACAATCGTCTTGGGTGTTCAATTTTTCCACAGAAGTTAACCATATTTTGGAGTGTATAGCCTTATGTTTGCTTTTGTCAGCTTCAATTGAGTGTCCATGTTTCTTGAAAGGCTTTCTGACCAAGTTGCCATTGGAAATTTCTCTGCTTTTGGTCTTTTTCTCATTTTATACTATCCTCTTTGATATGGATTCAAATAATTAGATCTGAAATTTATACTTACTATAATTCATGCTTCAATCTCTGCTTGAAGTTGCTCCAACTCGGGGTATCTTTTCGATTATCACACTTGTGATAAACTTCTTAGGTAGCATCATGTACTTGTCGATGACATAGTGAACTGTGTAATGAAACTCTTCAACTTGTTCAACAAAAGAATGCCCACTTACCATTTTATAACCGATAAACCGTCACAAAAGTCTTGGACATGCCATTCTGGGACTTAATCACATGAGCTTTACAAGCATTGGTCTTTCCATGGTTGATGGTGTTTTATTTCGCTCTTATAATTGTAGGACTAAAAGGCTTGTTTCTGGATCCTAAAAAAAGGATTGGTAGTTTTTAGAGAAAAATCTGCATCAACATGCCCAAGCCAACAACCTCGATTTATGTAGATTTGTCTAGATAAACAAACAGCGTTTGTATGTGGCTTTGTTGCATATATGGATCGTAATTATACATAGTACGATATATACATCATTTTATGAAAACATGCCAAACTTTAATGTTATAGGAAATGTGAGACGTGTGAGCTTTGCCTATAAAATAAATGAAAGCAAATTAAATCACACATGAGCATCAAACCAACCCAAGCAAACTTTAAAATAAATTGAAAAGAGAATAATATAATATTATATATGATTATATTGAAATACGTACACGCTCGTGTACTAGTGAGTGGGTGAAGGAAATTGAAAGCACAAGAGGACAAAGTGCATATACATATATATGTGGGTTTGGAAGGGAAAGTACACGGCAGTGTACTTTGAGTTTTATTAGCAAGAGAGGTATTGTGATAGTGATATAAAGTGTATATAAATATATAGTAGGGAAGTATGTGATAAGTGATCACATAGTGTGCGTATATGTGACACTCCGGCCCGTAAGCCACACTAAGTCGAGCATATCAGGATCATAGACTGGCCCTACAACTCTAGAGTTCTTTTAATAGGGCTCCCGAAAAGGAATGTGCGTATTCTTGACATGAGTAGTCTGTTCAATCCATGTACGCAAAGTCGAGCACATCGGGATTGTAGACTGGCCCCATAACTCTAGAGTTATTTCAGTAGGGCCCCGGAAAGAAATGTGCGTATTGTTGACATGAGTACTCTGTTCAATCCATGTACGCAAAGTCGAGCACATCAGGATTATAGACTGGCCCCATAACTTTAGAGTTCTTTCAGTAGGGCTCCCGAAAAGGAATGTGCACATTGTTGACATAAGTAGTTTATTCGATCCATTTAACCTATAGTCAACTTCCGATGGCCTAATACTGGCTCATCCACACACAAGAGTTGGCCAAACAATGGCCCAACTCTCGGGGTATCAAATCCTCCGCCATTTTACAATGGAACGTCCATGTTGCACCCCAAGAATCTTTAACTTCTAGGCCCGTCAATAGTCCGGTCAACGATTGCAAGCTATCGCAGATCGGCTCTGATACAAACTGTGACACTCTGGCCCAGAAGCTATGCGAAGCCGAGTATGTCGGGATCGTAGACTGGCCCCATAGGTAATCACAAGTCCTTCGAGCGCAGTTCTGTCCTCACTCACGCGCACCCTGGGAGACTTTTTAGGGGGTCACCATCCTCAAATTGCTCTAGAGCAAGCACACTTAACTTTAGAGTTGTTTCAATAGAACTCCCGAAAAGGAATGTGCACATTGTTGACGTGAGTAGTCTATTCAATTTATTGAACCTATAATCAACTTCCAATGACCTAATATTGACTCATCCACACATGGGAGTTGGCCAAAACGGCCCAACTCTGGGGGTATCACATCCTCCCCTAGGCCCAACTCTGGGGGTATTACAGTATATAAAGTGTGTGTAATGTGTGTGAAGAAATGCAAGCAAAATAGGAAGAGCATAAGAACAAGAGAGACCAGAGATGAAAGAAAAGGAATGCTTTATTATGACTTAATCTTATGTAAATGAAAAAACCTACACAATATTTATAGACCTAGGACTCAACGGATAAACATTTACAAGAGCTAAAATCGGAACTGAAATGACTACAAATAAACACCCGACTTTCCTAAAGTTCAGGCCCAAGAAACATTTTATTTATAAAATATGGTCAAATTATACCAAATGCGGGATTATTTCAAACAAACTCCCCCAAAATCCTGATGCGACTTTAAATGAGCTTCATCTCTACTCCATAAGACAGCAATATAGGTAGGCTCCTTATCATCCAAGGCTTATGGGTTGGTTTCTTCTTCCAAGAATGTCAGGTTGACTTTCGCCTTATCCGGCTTGCTCCTGCACTCAGATGTATGATGCCTTATCCGGCTTGCTCCTGCACTCAGATGTATGATGCCCCAGTCTTCCACAATTGTAGCATTTAATGTGGCTCTTATCTTGGCCACTCCTTATATCTGAGCCTATGGCATTGTTGCTATTTTTGCCCCTTTTTTTGTTATTTCAATTGTGTCCACACTAGCTGCAATTCCTTCAAACATCTCGTTTTCTCTATATGTGCTTTGGTGATGAGTAATTGACTCTCTCCAAGAGAGATGGGCTTCCTTATTTGCGCACACTCCTCATATACCTTCAGTCGCCTTATTGCTTCCACTACAAAAAAAGTAGTATATTTGTAACGGAATTCTGTTCCTAAAGTTCACGTAGCTAACGTAATTCCATCTCTAATTCCGTCTCTAATATCATTAGTAACGAAAAAGGTAAATTTATGAACGAAAAAACCTCGTTACAAAATTGATAATTTCTTATAGTGTTCCTCAAACGGCATACTTCCTAAGTCACAAAACTACTCAATAGTTTCTTTACCAATTCCTGCAATAATTGGATAATATTTGTTAGGTAAATAATTGAATAGTTTCTTTACCAATTGTGCATCGTCCAGCATCGCCTTGAGGCTGGAATACTTCGCCGACATCCGCTTAGCTTTCCCTCGAACTCACTTCTCAGTGTCTGCAGACGCACCATCTTGACACGATCTGCTCCAACGAACCTAGTTTTCAAACTCTCCCAAACCTCCATTGTTGTCTTCCTTGGTGCGAGTTGCAATCATAGATCCTTCGGAAGCATCTGGAAAAGGAGCATCTTTGCCACCTTATCCTTTCTTGTATTTACAGTCCTCCCTTCCATCGGTTCAATAACTTCCGAAACACCTTAGGCTTCCATGATCGTCTCAACTTTAATCGACCAACTTGTGTAATTTTTTTATGTTAACTGGGGATAGACAAATGTCACCCCGATGTTGTCTCTCACCCCTTCACCCTCCGACACAATCAACATCCTATTGAACCTGGGATATTTGGGCATGCAACGTTTATAACAGGTTACGCCAGGCATCACGCTTTAATACCACTTGTGAGCTTTGCCCAGAAAATAAATGAAAACAAATAAAATCACACACGAGCATTAAACCAACCCAAGCGAACTTTAAAATAAATTTAACATGAAATAGATATAATATTGAAATACGTACACACTAGTGTACTAGTGAATGGGTGAAGAAAATTGAAGGCACAAGAGGACAAAGTGCATACATATATATATATATATAGGTGGATTTGGAAGAGAAAGTACACGTCAGTGTACTATGAGTTTTATTAGCAAGAGAGCTATTGTGATAGTGCCATAAAGTGTATATAAATATATGTATATATATGTAGGGAAGTATGTGATAAGTTATCACATGGTCTGTTGTATATAGTGTATGTATATATATGTGTGAAGAAATGCAACCAGAATAGTAAGAGCAGAAACAGAAGAGAGAGCTGAGACAGAAGAAGATGATTGTTTTATTCTGACTGAATCTTATGTAAATGAATAAACGTAGTATACAGTACTTACAGACTTAGCTAAAATCGGAATTGAATTGACTAAAAATAAACACCTCACTCTTCCTAAAATTCATTCCCAAGAAACATCTTATTGAGATACTTGGTCAAATTATACTAATGGCAGGATTATTCCAACAAGACGATTAACAATTTCTTAAGCTATCTATCCACTAATCTAGTCTAATTTAGTACCAAAAGCTCTTTAAGCCCAATCTTAATGAAACACTAATCAAGCCTGAAACAATGACAAACAATTTTTTTTTTTATTTACCTGTATAATTTCTACTCACCGATTAACTAGTTTTAAGAATTTTTAAATTCTGATTTCATTGATTAAATCTATCGAATTTTCAACATTTTCTTCATTTTAACGTAATCTATAATTGTTGTTCTCTACCATGATTCCAACATTTTTTACTTCATCCTCATTGAACTGAGAATTGTGCTTCCTCTTTTCATGCAAAGGAAAGCTTTGATTGTGTAACTTGCAGAAGGGTTTTTTGTTTGAATTCCTTCGTTTTTCTTCACGGGCATGCAAAAATTCCACGAGCAGTTCAATACATACGATGTCCAAGTAATTGGATTCTTCATTGCAAATACAATATGATCAAATTTTGAATCCAAATATTTAATTTTATTTTTCAAACAACTCAGTTGTCTTAACTTCTCTATATCCCCTCATTTGGTTGATATAATGAAAATTCTTGCAATGTAGTATAAAATAAATTCGGACTCCTTCATTTTCAAAGACTTGTACTCTCATATTATTATTTGGTGACAAACTCTGACCTTTTAATGTTCTTTACAGAGAACTTTAAAAATATCCCAAGCTTTCTTTGAAGTACTTGCACCAGCAACCTTCTCCGGAAATTTGTCTCTAAACTTTGGTGTACATTCACAAGAGCCTTTTCATCGACATCATATCTTCAACTACAATCTTTGAGGGTCTCCAAGTGTGAGAAGTTCCAAGTAATTCCTTCGTACTGATGCTCCATATTTCATAATTGTCTTTAGTGAGCAGTTGAACTTGGAGAGGATTGCTATAGATTTACTATTTGATATATACAGAGTTTCCAAACAATTATTTAATTCATTTTAAGAAAATAACTTTATACAAAGGATAGCAAGTACTGATTTTAATAGTGCACAATAAAAATATCTAGGATCACAAAATAGAGTGATTAAAAGAAATGATCCTAGACGTTTCATCTCCTTATGCATTTCTAGAGAAAGGGCACAAAACTAAAGAACTAATGAGATATTAATCAATAAAAAACAAAGTAATAATGAAAATATTAATCAAGTTTATTATTCCAACAGGCAACTGCGGATTTTATTTTCTTTGAGTGCCAGCTGAGATCAATTTTCAAAGGGTTCAGGAGATGGCTGTAGCTGCTTATGCATCACTGGTATCTTTAACTCATGTCCTCGACAATGTTCATTATCGTGCTCAACATCTTCACCTTCACGTGGACATAAAGCAGATTGAACATCTTCAGGAATGTGTCAATTTCTTGTTAGAACTTGCTGAAGTTCACAATAGAAGAAAAGGCCAGAAGATAGAAAGTTTGTGGAGGAAAATATCTGAAATTGGCTTTGAGATGGAAGAAACTTTTGACTTACATGTTGTGAGTCAACTTCAGAATCGAACTCAGGGAGAAAACAATGATATGGAGTATATACCTTTCCATGAAAATTTGGACAGTATAATCCAAAAGATTCACTTCATCAAGAGAGATCTATTGATGGTTCAAGAGGTTGTAGAGGAGGTTCATACCAAAGCATATGTTCCTGGTGGTAGTTCTTCAAGTATTGCTGCTTCTTCAAATGCCAAGAATACTATTGTGGGACTTGATGAACACGTAGTCAAGATTAAGGGTGAGATAGCTAGAGATGGGGTCAATCTCCAAATTATCCCAATCGTTGGGATGGGAGGGATTGGAAAGACTACTCTTGCCAAAATAGTTTATGAAGATAAATATGTCATTGAACGCTTTGATGTACGCATTTGGCTTACAATTTCTCAAGAGTATAGCGTCGATGAGATCCTTTCTGGTCTTGTTAATGATGGGAAAGTTGAAAGGCGTGGTGGAAATTTAGAAAGACCGGGAGAAGTGTTTCGCAAGAAGCTATACGGTAGAAGATACTTGATTGTTATGGATGACATATGGTCTTTAAAAGCTTGGGATGATTTAAGGAGATTCTTTCCTGATAATAGAAATGGAAGTCGGATTATTATGACCACTAGGCTGTCACAAGTGGCTGGTTTGTTAGGCTCTCATGACCCTTATTCGATGACATTTCTAGATGATAATACGAGTTGGAATTTATTTTGCCAAACTATCTTCGGAGAAGAACATTGTCCTGATCAAGAATTGGAGAAAATAGGAAGGGTGATTGTGAAATGTTGTAGAGGACTTCCGCTAGAAATTACTGTTATAGGGGGACTGCTTGCAAATTCTAGCATGAAGAAAGAATATTGGGAATCTGTTGCTGAGAATGTAAGTTCCTTTGGTAATGCAACCGACGATGATCATTGTCTAAAGGTACTGCTTTTGAGTTACAATGATCTGCCTTTGTATCTAAAGCCATGTTTCCTCTATATGAGTGTTTTTCGTGAAGATGATAATATTTATGCCCCGAAACTAATCAATTTGTGGGTTGATGAGGGTTTCATAAAAACAAGGGAAGATAAAACTTTGGAAGAGCTTGCTAAGGAATACTTAGATGATCTTGTTGATAGAAATCTACTTTTTGTTTATAAGCGAGACCTTATGAATAAGGAAATAGTGTCATGTGGAATTCACGATCTTTTGCTAGATCTATGCTTAAGTATATCTAACAAAGAGCATTTTAGCCGAGCTCCAAAAGTACAAGAGATCAATGTGGAATATGGGGAAGAAGTATGTTTCTTATGTGGAGATTCTGTGACAGAAGAAAAATGGAGTAATCTGCCCGAACTTGTTCATATTCCGCCATTCGATTCACAAACTAATCCGTGTCTTTGCGGCGCCTGTAAAGCGACTTACTCACATATTAAGACACTAAGAATGGCCAAGGTCTTGCATCAAGATTTCTCAACTAATTCACTTGTGCAACACACCAAATTACGTACTATGTTTCTTACACTCGACAATTCTTCTGCACCATTTATATCACCTTCCACATTACAGTTGCTATGGAACCTTCAGACATTGGCATTAGAGCCCACTTTTTTAGATGCAGTGGAGCTGCCACCCGAAATATGGGAGATTCCACAACTTAGAGTTATTGAAGTCAAATATGTGGTGTTTCCCGATCCTCCTGAAGCTCCTGCTGGAGAGAAAGATTTTTGTCTGCTGAAAAATCTACAGGTACTTTCCCGTGTATGGAATTTAATGGAAGTGGATGAAATTCTTGGCCGAATTCCGAACTTGAAGCATCTTGAAATTCAGCAGGATTCATTTTACAAATGGCAGATAAATCCTCCATGCAATATTGCCATTTTGCAAAAACTTGAAGTGTTATATGTCAAAAACTCTTGTCAAAAAATCTTCTTTCCAAATTCACTCAAAAAGTTGATCCTGAAGAGTTGCAAGGAAATTTCTTGGAAAGGTATGTCGAGGGTTGGTTCATTACCCAATCTTGAGCATCTAGAGTTGCGGTATAGCACAATCGGATTCAAATGGAATCCAAGTGAAGGAGAATTTCTTCGATTGAAGACATTGATAATTGTTGGTAGTCATTTAACACGATGGAGAGCTGATCATAACCACTATCCTCAGCTTCAGCTGCTTCGCCTTTATGATGTACCTTCATTGAAAGAAATTCCTTTGAGTATCGGAGATATACCAATGTTGCATACGATTGATTTGGATGGCCACAATAGATCTGTTGTGTATTCGGCATACAAAATTTGGAAGGAACAGCAAAGTATCGAAAATGATACCCTCAAGATTACTGGCATGGGCGATAACTGGATAGAGGACTCCATAAGTGAGTTCATGGCCAAGGAGAAAGAAGATGAAAATGAAGAAGTCGAAGCTGATGAATCCAATTCTGAAGACGAAGATGACGAGTCTTCATCTGAAGATGAAGATGAAGATGAAGATGAACCAGATGAATTTGAGCATGACGGCGAAGATGATTAGTCTAGTATCTAAGGTACTTTTGAAGAAGAAACAACCTTTTCTTTGGTGTTACTTAAATCATTCTAATAATTTGTTCTGTGCCTTCTAACTTACTAATATTTTCAGGGTTTCCTTTGGTAAGAATACAAGTATATATGAGGTATGACAGAAATTTTATTCTCTGGAATGGAGTTAAATATTTTAGAGATTTGAGAAGAGAAGATATTTACTGAGGCTTGATGCATAAATTTACTACTTTTGACTGTTGGTTGTTATTCTCATGTAAACAAAAGATTCATTGTGTTATATGTCTGGACAACTTATCATACAATTGGTTGCTCAGCAGTCACTATTCACATCTTTCTTGAATTAGTTTTGTAATATTTTCTTAAACTTTTTTTGTTAGCATTTATCAATTTGAGGATTCCTAAACTGGGGTGTGTTTATCCGTGGATTTTAGGTTTTGGGTTTTGGGTTTTGATTTTTGAATAGTAAAAAATTGAATTTGAACACTTGTTTGATTTAATATAAATAAAGATTAATATGATGTTTTAAATGTAAAATAAATTTATAGTATAATGTTAAAAAAGAAAAATAAATATTTGATGTGATAATTTTTTTTTAGAAAAAAAAGAATTTAAATAGTAAAAATATGTGATAAAAACCACAAAAGAACACAACTATAGTGTTTAGTTTATCAGAACCAAGAGGGAGACATCATCGTATATGAACGTTTGATCATTTTAAGTAGTTACTTTATTCATTAGTTTCACACAAATCAACCTTAATGAATCTGCTGTTTTAAATAGAAAATATGTGTACGATGTAGTCTATTAAATGGAAAATATAGAGGGAGGTTTATTCTTCCACCAAAATTTTCTGACATTATTCCTAGTATATGTATATTTTATCAACATTCAATCGTAAAGTATTATTTTTTATATTAACAACACAATGACTTATGTCTCACATTAAAAAAAAAAAAAAATTAAAACAAAACACTAAACAATCAAACCTTGGATACATTCTATTTTTGTGATATTTTGTTTTTATCCCAACATTGATGTATAATTTAAAAAAAATAATTAAGGTTGTTTAGTATTATGATTTTAGATATTTTTTTTAGAATAGTTAAAGTATTACTGACAAAATATATATATATTAATTTTTTGTTTGTTTGGAGGATTGGATTTTAAATTCTCTATTATTTCCATTTTTTTCTCCAATTTTTTATTTTATATTAAAAGTCAATTTTATTTAGTTCAACTCTGATACCATATCTGATGCAAAATTAAAGTATTTATAAAAGGTTTCTGCTGTAGCTCTATATTTCAAATTGATTGATATCCCCACTTCTCCAGCAATTAATTAATTTGTAATTACAAGTCAGATGGCATGGATGGTAGGGGTGGACACTGGTTCGATTATTTGCAAATATGCAGGTATTTGATAATCCAATCGAACCGAACAAATATCCAAAACTGCGAACCGTATTCGAACCGAAAATTTTGGTTAACCGAAAATATTTGTAGTATTTGCAAATAATTCGAACCGAGCCGAAATTAAGAAAAAATATATAAAAAAAATTAAAATTCTAATTAAATAAAAAAATATTTGCAAATATTTCAAATATCCGAACCGAAACCGAACCGAAAAAATATCAAATATGCAGTATTTGTATTTGAACCGAATTTGCTCGGTTAATCGAAAATTCGGTTCGATTCAGTTCGGTTCAACGGTTCGACGATTCGGTTCGATTTTTTTGCCCACCCCGGTTGAATTTGGTGACGTGTGCATAAATGAAGCTCTGGTCGCCTATGTCCTTGTTACTTGGTTTTTTTAACTTAATTTTTGTAATTAATTATTGTGTAAGCTTGTATATAATTCTTAGGTATTTTGGGCCTCTTCTCATGCTTTATAGAGGAGCTTGCCTAGTGTTGGGCATGTCTGTTAGAGACAGGCCCATTTTTTATTTTGATAAAGGTCTTTTTGCTGAGCTTTTCCTGTTTTGGGTCTGTCCTTTACTTGAACCTGGACAGCCCACTATGTTGGGCCATATTGTGAATGGAATGGCCTTTAGGGCATTTTTGGGCCTGGTTTGTGAGCCCAATATGGGCTACGTTGTTTGATGTTGTGAACCTTTCTCTATTATTTATAATATAAGTTCTTTTAAAAAGATGAAAAGTAAAATCTTCTTTGGATAAGTTTTCACTTATGATTTGCACAGGGTCATCTAGGACTATTTTAAGGCTTTGATAAAAATAAATTTTAGATCTTATAAACATATAATTAAATATATTAACATCAACAAATATAATAACAAATTTTATAAAGCAAAAATTATTTTAATAATATTCAATAAACGTTGATATGCACATATTGTATTATCAATTTAAAATAAATAATATTTAAATTATTATAAAAATAATAATTCAATAAAAAAACAACACAAATAATAATAATAATAATAATAATAGTTTTTTTTTTTTGGCTATATAGCAATGGTTGCGCCTAAAGTGGGGTTCTTACGTATGCAATCGGGATCAAGCCATACGTAGTTCTACTAAACTATACAATCTCAATAGCAAACAGACAAGATAAGCCTAGGTAGTCTAAGTATCAAATAGCCAAAGGCAATATGTCTAAGGCATCAACAATACCAAGCACTAAGCTATATAGTCCAAATATCATCGATCTAAGCTAATTCAAAATCAAATAAAAGGGTGAAGCCTGCTAGCTGAAACAAAAAGTCAAAAGACTGTCAATATCCGTTTGAAGGAAGCCTCTAATTGACGAAGAGATATCTGTCGGGAGAAGTATCCGTTCAATCGGGAGAGAAACCGCTATAATCGCTAAAGCATCTGCGATGTGGTTCCCCTCTCTATATATATGAGACATACGCCAAGTCGTATCACTAAGCCGCAGCCGAATACATGTAAGACATCGCTGAAGAGTCCAATGGCTCGTCTCAGAGGAGATCAGGGAGATGCATACTATCGAATCTGTCTCAATCCATAGTGGTATCAATCCTCGATCAATCGCTATCCCTACTCCAGTCTGAATCGCCGTCAGCTCTGCCAAAGTGTTCGTCGCCTGCGGGATCGGAGTCTGAAACGCAATGAGAACTGCTCCTGCCGAATCTCGAATACTATCTGCTGCTCCTACTGCACCGGGATTGCCAAGGGAAGCACCATCTGTGTTAAGCTTGAACAATCCTGGAGACGGTGCCTCTCAACGCACCATCATCGGAGGCCGAGGGATTAGAAGGGGGTATCGAAATCCAAGTCCATCTGCTATAGAAAAATCGCCCACCCAATGTCGATGTAATAGAATTCTAGCACGCCAAAGAGTCTGCAAGTGTGAATGAATCCGCCAAATGATCCTCTCAGAAGATATGCAAAGGCCCTTGTGCTTCGCATCGTTCCGAGCAATCCAAATGAACCATAGTATCAACAAAGGAACATACACTCTAATACTCTAAGAATGTGCCGAAGAAAGCCTCCACAAAGACACAAATAGATGCAGTGTATGTGTCTCCGGCAAAGATATCCTAAAAAGCACCGCAAAATGCTCCCACACTCTCCAGGCAACCGCTGAACTAATAAAGAGATGCGAGATAGTGTCGACCTCCATGTGACAACAGTGACATCGTGACACAATCGAAATGCCATAATGCTGGATAATCCCATCTGTTGGTATCCTTCGCTAAAACAATCTCCATAGAAAGACTGACATCGTCGGAGTAAGAACACACGACCAAAATATCCCCGACAGCCAACTCCGTACCCCCGTATTACGGCAAAGCTCCCAAGCTGAGGATGCTGTAAATGTACCGGATGATGAGGCCATCCAACTCATCCAATCTTCATACTATCTATCAATAGGGACCTCCATAATACGCTGAACGAGCGACTCGGGAAGATATGCTCGCAATCTCACAATATCCCACGAGTGGCCACTCCACATATCTTGAACCAAGATCGGCAACGGCGGCGGCGGTAGTCTGCCCTTCCGAAAAGTCGAAAGGGGCTGCTCTCCAAGCCATATATCATCCCAAAAATAACACGCTTCCCGACCTAAAGTCCAATAAATCTGCAACTGAACCTCCTCCTTAAATCGGCACAAGCGCTTCCACACCCGGCTATGGTAGCTCCGACAAAGAGAATTGCCCGGAAAAGAATCGCAAGTACTTGTGCCGCATCGCCTATGCCCAAAAGGAGGAGCCCTCGTGAAGCTTATACAAAAGCTTCGTGGAAAATGCATGAACCATATACGAAAGGCGTCGAAGTCCCAAACCACCCTCCTCTTGCGGCCGTGTTGCATATGTCCAAGAAATCCAATGACGCTGGCGATGACCATGATACGAGCCCCAAAAAAACCGCATACAGATCTGCTCAACCTCATAAAGTATCGACTGTGGAGGTAGCTGGTCCAGCCCTGTGAGCACCTCCAATGCCTTCGTGGACTTCGGACATGACCTTCATAGCATCCCTGTAACATAAAAGCCGGGCTAATGTCCTATCGGATCTCCGTCGGTACTACTCTCCATCAATTTGAGTGTATTTCAGAAACTGATGGCGGACTGTTTGTGACGCGACGTTCCCGGGGTCTATTAGATCTTCCAGCAGTGGGGTTCGCCAATCTGGGTCTTGGGCAGGCTGCAAACATTCAAACCTTTGCAATATTTCTCTTCTTTTGAATCCGGAAACCCACTACGCCAAATCATTTGCTTCTAAATTCTCTTATCGAGGATGTCTTCCAATGTCACTTCTGCGAGCTGCCGAAGAAGGTCATAGGTCTCTTGAAGCAGGTCCTAAAGCCGTGGCTCCTTGCACTTTAATTTTTTAGGGCTTCTCGGATAACAAGCTGAGAATCCCTTCGAATAACGACCTTTTTTACATCCATTGCGACCAAGAATTGCAACACCAATAGTATTGCCTCGTATTCAGCTTGATTATTCGTGACACCTTGAGGAAGCTAGTGAGCGAAGTGCCATACTTCTCCTTCTTGACTGGAGATTACTACGCCTGCTCCAGCTGCTCCCGAGGTGCTGGATTCATCAAAAGCCACCTGCCAGGGTTCTAATCCTACGTAATCCAAAGGAACGGCCTAAACCATCCCCGGATGTTCGGCCAAAAAATTTGCAATAGCATGTCCTTTGACGGCCTTAAGGGGCTGATATATCAATGCGAACAACGCCAATTTTAACGCCCATTTAACGAAACGGCCTCGGAGGACCGGCTTGTTTAATAAATAGCGTAGGAGGTCGACTTTGCATATGACTTTAGTTTCAACCGGCATCAAATAGTACTCTAATTTCGTGCATGCATTATATAATGATAAACAAAGTTTTTCGATACTCGAATAATGAGTTTTAGCTTCATTTAAGGTCTTACTAAGATAATAAAAAACCCGT